TTCTATATTTTTTATGTCTTCTGTAAATTTAATGCACTTCGCTCAGCTACCCCGTGCATAATGTTAACGCACGGGGCCCTACGTTCAAAAGTTTGATGCAGTGGCAATCTGATTGAAGTTCTGAGAAGAGTGTATTGTTGTCATTATATTATCGTGAAAAAAGCAAAAACTGAGTTTTCAACTCAGCTGTATCTTCTAAACGAATGGCCGGGTTGCAAAAATAACTCGATATTCGTTATTTTTATCGAAATTTCACATAGGCACGTTGTTCATAACGAAAAGTGGCACTTGGTGCCAGTTGTGCTGCACACTCCACGCGGATTCCAGAGCGATATGGGATTTTATTTTCTATGGAAATTAAAAGTATGCAAAGCGAGAGTATAGAAAAGTGTTTTAATTCCTCACTGGGAAATGGTAAAATCCTGAATGGAAAATTTCCATCAGGAAAACTAAATCTATAGTTATTTTCTCTAAGGGATTTAAAGCTGGGTACTCCATGGAATCATGTTTAGAAAATCACCACTTAAATGGAACGACGGAAACGGACATCCCTGAAGTTTGGCAAGAATAAATGCCGTGACTTCAGCATTTCCAGAGGGTAGGTAGGCAGCACGCCGCCACGGGTGAGTCACGGCGTCTGAATTGCCTATACCCCTCACAGGCGCTCTCCGACAGCTAGCCGCATGCCGTGTCTGCAGTCGCCTGACTTTCACCACAGAGCAGTGTGCGCTTCAGGCTCGGCTTCAGGACAGGCAGACATGGTGGGGGAGTAAGGGAAGGAGGGAGGAGTCTGACGAATGGGGACCCCAATGATGGGATTGAAACGACGAGACAAGCACCGGCGGCGGCGAGAGACTGGTGCGACGGGAGGAGAGCGGGGGACGACGCGACAGCAGGACCAACAATTTGTATACGTGTCATTTTGTACCAAGGCGGCGGCGACGGCGGCCTGTCGCGCGCACACATCCCATACTGCGTCTCTGTTCTCTCTCTCTCTGTTCTCTCTCTCTCTCTCTCTCTCTCTCTCTCTCTCTCTCTCTCTCTCTCCCTCCCCGCTCTTCTTACACACACGACGCTGGTACGCCCGATGAATTGAGCGCACTTTTCTCTGTCTGCCGCCAGCCCTGTCCTCTTGCGTGTCTACACCGCTGCTCGTCTCGGCCCGACAGACGGACGTGCGTTGCTTGCACGGCGGAGGTGATCCCCCCCGCCCTGCCCGATCCGGACCGATCCCCTTCCCGACACAACAAGCTCGGCCCTGAGTGGTTGTAATCCCCGTGCAGGGTGAGACCAAGAAGGATCTCTTGTAGGAGGAAAGCCTCGCCGGCGGGCGGCACACTCACACTGTGAACTATGGTAAATGTACAAGGGTACGAGCAAGGGGCAGCGACGTGCCAACACTGAACACGCTTATCGGTGTTCGACCCCCCCACCCTCAAAAAAAAAAATTAATAACAATTGTAACAGAGCGTATTCGATGGTATTTGTACAGGCCCTTATAAGTTGTACAAATGCCAGCCAATTCATATTATCGGTGACTCTATTGTTTTGTTTCGTGAAAAAGTTTTGCTCGCCACAAAGGCCCAGGCCCGCTCTTATCCAATCCATGTCACTTGCATTCATGTAATGCGGCGCCAGGTCGAGCCAAATGTCACCCTCCTACCCCAAGAGCGAGCGAGAGGGAGAGAGGGGGGGGGGGCGTGGCGGAGCAGAGGTGTTCAACTCAAGACAAGGGGCCTAATACGGCTGCAGCCCCCGGCCGTGCGGGGGTTAGGTGGGGGGCGCCGTGCGGTCTGGGAGGGGCGCACCCCGTAGGACATGTAATATTAATAGGTCATTACAGACGTGTTTGTGGCGTTAAGACCTCTGCCGTCGCTGCAGGCCCCCGCCGAGGCCACAGCCGTCCCCGGCAAGACCACGCTCTGACCCGCGGTCCACAACCCTGGCAAGAGGCTAAGAGGTTCGGGGGCTAGTCTCTCAAAAATTTGGTATTTTTATACTATTTCTTTTTTATCTCATTTCATGACAACAAACAACTAAATCCATTGAGAATGTGATATGCACTGGCAAAACAAGTCTCTAATTTTGCAAGTCAATTTATGTTTAAGTTCAAGTGTGCATTTTCTCGACACATAGTGATGTCTAACTAGGTTAAACGTCAATAGTTGTTTAAACTTCCGACACTTCCGAAAAGAATAGCACTTGCACACCACATGGTTCCTGTTGATAGCATAGAATTGTGAATTGTGTGTGTCCAAGTGTGCAGAATTTAAACGTTAACAAAACGTTTAAAATGTGCACACCAAGCAAGTGTGCAACTTAGTGTGCAAATTGAACACACTTGTTTTAGACCAGCGGACACACGGTGAAACCCGTTGAGCGCGAGCGCACTGTTCCGCAAGCAGGGCGCACTCCCGTCTCCAAGCAGTTGCACCGATTTCCAAGACAGCGCCCCCACTCTGCTTGGAAATTTCGACATGTGCTTTGGAGCGTAAAGTCGTTGCTTGGAAACCAAAGCACCCCACTTTTCCCGTGAAATCACCACGCCCTTGTTTGCTCCGGCCCGAGCTCCCCACCATAGCAAGGCACAATCATTGCGAGGGGAATTCTCCTCCACGCGACCTAATCCCCGGCGCGCCCCGGCCGCCCTGGCCCGCCCCCGCGGGGCCGCGGTAGACCAGCGCAGCCCAGCGCAGCCCAGCGCAGCCCAGCGCAGCCCAGCGAGGGCGTGAAATTGCCGAAATCACCGGCGCACCAGTCGGCAGAGCGGGGGGCTGTGAAATAGGGGGGTTCGGGCCGGCGCAGCTTGGGCGCAGCTTCCCCAGCCTTCATCATGGCGATATTGCCCGCGGGCGCCGAGGGAGAGGGGAGCAGTCTCACTCACAAAGCGCTTCTTGTTGTTTGTTGCAGGTTGACTGCCGATGGGTGAGGCCGCGCAGACATGTACAGCGCGGTCGGGGGCGCTCATAGCTACCGCGGAGAACGGCGGCAGCCCAAGCGCCAACAGCCGCCACCGCAGCAGCAGCAGCAGCAACAACAGCAGCAGCAGCAACAGCAACAGCAACAGCAGCAGCAGCAGGATGGGGAGGCATCGGGGGAGGCGGCGGGCGAAGGGCAGGCCGAGGCCGGGGGCGCCGAGAGCGCGCGCCGCCGCCGCCGCTCCAGGCACCACCAGTCCCTCACCGCGCGCCTCATCAACTACATCAAGCGCCAGTTCCACCCGGAGGAAGGTGAGTCCCTCAACCACACTGCTGCTGCACCCGTTCAGCCAAACGTACGCATGGTGGGGCAGTAGGGCAAGGCGTGGCGGGGCGTGGCGGGGTGCGCAGCCACTCGGCGCCCTGGTCACGCCTCCGTCCGCCTGGAGGAAGGAGTGGGGGAGCGAGTGGTCTCCAGACTGCAAAGACAATATTTCTGACCCCAGCTGTTGAGAAGAGCCCGGGAACCCCTTTGGGAACCCCTTTGGGAACCCCTTTGGGTACCCCCACCCCGCGCTGACCGCCTGAGCCTTGCACCCGTGGCGGGCGCGCTAAGCGCAAAGCAAAGGCGACAGAAGGGACATATAACGGGTGTTAGAGCACGCGGCCGGGCGGGGCGTTCAGTAGGGTGGAGTGAAAATCTGGAATCGAAAACTAGACGTGGACCATGAATAATACTTATAGCGACGAAAAGGTCACGGTCACGATCAACAATTTGTGAACGTCACCGTCGCGCAAATTTCCTCGAGTTTCCCATCCAGTCAATTCTTTTTCTCCCTTTCCCGCCGTGTAACCTTTTCATGCCAATGTAATTAGAAGTGTGATAATTTTCACACATTGTTGGGATTCCCATGATTTATCGCATCTAGGGGAGTGATGAATTTTTATCACAAAATTTAGTGATGATACTTATTGCAAAATAATTCGATGATTATGGATGTACTGCAAACAGTGTGATGCACACTGCACAAAACTCTGATACCTCGAAATATCGCTGAAGTGAGTGATGGTCATCACATAAACGCAATGAATTTAATGTTGAACTTTTTCTGCGAAGATCATCACAACATCGTCATGCATTGTTTCTATCACGGAAAACACGCAGTCACAGTCACACTCTGATTTACAGTAGACTTCCCACTTTCCAGGTTTTCCATAGCGCCAGCAGCTTGGTAGGCACCCTGACAGCCCACTGCGTGCGTTGACATCCTGCAGCCCGGCGGCCTCCCCCCAATATTTCTTTTCCGTCCGGCTGGCTATGCGAGCCGAGTCGCCCGCCCGCCCGCCGCGCAGCGCCCCGCCGTGCCGAGCGCCGTGCCTCCCGACCAATTTCCGCAACTTTGAGCAGGAAGCTTTTCTTTCATTCGCTCGGCTTGGCGCTCCCTGGCGCGCGACAAGCCAGCAGCCCTTTGGCTCGAGTCTCCTCCGAGCGGTAACGATGCGCACTTGTTACTCCATTTGCGTGCATCATCACGCGGCTCGGGCGGGCGGCCCGGAGGCGACCCCGGAAGAGCCCGGAGGGCCGCCAATGTTACGGCGAGTCGAATTCGTTCCGATACTCTGCGGGCCGCGCGCCCCGCGGGCACATCGCGGTGGACGACCCCTTTTAGAGGCTCCACCATTCCGTTCCACCTGTGCGATCGTTTTGACGCCCCCCCGGCCCGGCCCCGGCCGGGGTGCGTGGGCGCGGGGGTCTCCCAGGGTCTCATGCGTTATGCATACGACTCTTCCGGGGCACGGCGGCCCGGGCCCGGGCCGGGGCAGCCGAGCCAACTTTTTGGCGGGCGGCCACAAAGTTTGTTAACAGCCCCAGCAAGCCGAGGCGCTGCCGGCCGCGCGTCCCGCCCAGTCCCGCCCCTCGCAGTCCGGTTCAGTTGCGCGGAAAGGGAGACGACGCGGCGTGCGCCACCGAGACCAGTGGGCCGGGAGAGGGATCGGGACCTTCGGGAAAATCTCCTCGGGGATCAAAAATCAATTTATTGTCGTCGTCGTAATATCTTGTGCTACGTTCTCCCCTTTCGCGGCCATCTCTTCAGCCCCCACTCCACAGGTGCCCTCTGGCCCAACGAGATCGCTACTTGCGCCAGTCTTAATTCACCGTGAATAAATTACCATGTTCGACGTCCCGCTGCTACGGAAATGATTATTACTTTAAATAACGTTCAGTTTATGCTCCGGCATATTTTATGAAAAAGGAGGAGGAAACGACGGCAATGCTGTCGGCGTGACAAACGGCGATGGCGGCTTGTTTCATTCGCTTACAGTCCTCCCCCGGCACCTTAGGCGCAGGCGGGGCCAGATGGTGCTTCACACACATCACACGAGCCGCGTTCAGCTGCGCAGCTGCGCCCCGCCCGGCCGGGCCGTAGGCCGTGGGCCGTAGGCCGCCGCGTAGCGCACGGACCACGCGAGGCCGGGCCATCTCCTCAAAGCCGCCGCACCCCGCTGCTCCAGTTCCCCTCTTTTGCCTTTACGCTCTAAATTTATGCCGACTCTCCCGGCAAAGGTGTCTCTCCATCCATGCCATGCGGTTTCGCGTCCTGAACTGAACCTCGTGCCGCACGCGCAAAAGCCACCGCCGCGAGTCGCTCTCTCTGCTGCGTCAGCCAAAGCTTTTAAAATTCCCTTACGCACAGTGAAAGTACGAAAAGTAAAAGAGCTGTTTTGCAGCTCAGTTGCATCAGCGGGCAACGGCGCTCTTTGTTTAGTCGAGGACGCAAGAAATAAGAAAAA